AGAGAGAGAGAGAGAGAGAGAGAGAGAGAGAGAGAAATTTATAAAAACGCGAAATTTCACACAATATGAACAAACAGTTTATTAATTTGCAAATTCGTTGTTTACAAAGCGTTAAATGATTTGATGTCTGAGTTAACGAACGAAACATTGAAAACTATATTTTATTTTTATTTTCATTTTTAAGCAATTTTAATTTCGATTACAACAGAGTATATGAGATAATAGAATAATACATTTAAATGATACCATTATTAATGTGGATATTTTTGAACAATTTGTTAAAAAACATAATGATTACTTAAGTAGAAATCCAACAGGCACAATTATAAAAATTAAAGATCAAATATTTGTTATATTGTAAAAGTTGTGACAAATAATTTCTAAAGATATTAATTAAAAATCAAATTTAATTTTATAAAAATAAAAAGCGTTTGCTAAACCTACCAAATTAAATTTAAATATTGCCACTTACTCGCCCAGTATTTTTATTAGAAATTTATATTTTTATGCACATTGTACTTATAATTTTGATTAGAATTTGAACCTATTTTCACCGAGAATAGTGCAAATCACATCATAATAACAAATTGAATTGAATACTAAAATCATAATAATGTTTAGAATTCAATTTTATCGGCCATCAAATACCCTGATAATCGAATTTCAAAATTTAAAAATGAATTAATAAATAATTCATTTAATATGAACAAAATATGATAATTATTAAAATAAATTATATTTAAAGGCAGACATTAATTATAAAATTATAATAAATAAATCCCTAAATACTAGAATATATGAGTTGTTTGATAGGGTGTTGTGTTGGGTCAACCACTGGCAGCCGGTGGGAGCGATTTGGTTACGTTTTTGTTGGCAACGGTAACCGACGGTTGCGGCGGTTTAACGGCGCCGGCGTTATTAGCGACGGCCGAGGGTTTGACAGTCTTTGGCGGTGCGGGCGTTGAGCATATTTTCTGTGGCTGTTGGTAAACGAGAGCCCACAGGCGGCGTATATCCTGTGGTGTGTGCTTATGACTGGTCATTACGCGCCGAAACACACACTCGTCAATGTTTTTGATGTGAGTGTTGCGAAACATGGCGTGATTCAGACGCCGAATGCCCGCTTTCTCCGCCACTATACCAGTCATATACACGTCTTCTAAATACATGGGCCGCTCCTTAATGCTGGTCTCGTATAGGGGTTGAGCGGCGTCTCCCGATATCATATACGCCGGTCCGGTGGCAAAGGTTGGGAATGTGGTGCCGTTGAAGGCACGGGACGGCACATACCACTTGTTGTTTGTGTTTCGGTGTGGTTTCCACTTTTTGGCCAATTTTCCTATTGGTAAAAACCGACAAATATAACCTTAAATGCTAAAATGTTTTAAACATAGGCAATTACCGATAATGCACTTGTTGAAATTTCTGGTTTCACTAAAATCAGTAATGTGTTGCATATTGACAAACATATCGTCGTCCACTTTGAGCACATACTTCACTTTAGAGCACCGGTCGGTCAACCACTTCATCATCGATATGG